CACTGCGCTTCTTTCTTTCCTTCCAGTTGTAGAACTTCCACTGGGCCAACTTCCCCATAGTTCTGAATGGTGGTTGTTTGTCTTATAGTTGATAGTTTCAATGATGTTGTGGGAGGCAGCACACACAGGTCTACTCCCTATGCCACCATCTTGGTTCTCCTCTATTGTAATTCTTATACCGTCTAAATGCTATTCTAAGAAGGAGCCACTCCTTATACTCACCACAGTTCTTTTCCAGTAGAATTTCAGTTTTCACCCAAACTTTTTATTACACTTATATGTAGTTCTTTAGTGAGTCATTCCACCATCATCATGGGCTCCTTCACATCCCCATATATAAGCTCTGTTCATCCACCCCCTTAACATCTATTGAATCTGTCTGTTTTTGCTACTACTACTCCAGTTTAGATCTTTCTCATCAGCAGTCCCTTATCTGGTCTTTTTTCCTCTAGTTTCTCTAATCTGTTATACTTTTCATAATGAATCTAAAGGGATATTCTAAAAATACATGTAATAATGCCATTTCTCTATAAAAAGTTATGGTCCTCTGCACTCCAATGATAAAGTTCATATTCTTGAGCATGACATTCATGTTCTATATTATGGCATTCATGATATAGCCCCAACCCACCTTAATAATCTCATATCCAGCTACTCACATTTTTCATCTAAAATAGGTTTCTATGATCAAACCACACTGAACTTTTTATTTTAATTTTATATTTTCTTAGACAAACCATGATATTTTACTCCTCCAAGTTCTGTTTGAAATCCCCCTTTCCTTTATTCCACTTACTGTAATCCTTCAAGTACCAGCTGAAATGTGACCTATTTTTCAAAGTGTTCTCCAGCCCATCAGACAGAATTAGCACTGTCCTCCTCATAGCACTTATTTTCATGATTCTGCTTATATTTCAATAATTGATGTATTTATCTTGCTGGGCTAGTGTGAAGCCTCTCGAAGCTCCTCCCCACTACTTGCCCACACATAGAAGAGAGGCCTCCCTGTCTGATAAGGATTCACTCCCAATTCTCTGCAGTTTCTGAATCTGGTCTGTGTGTTTTTATTTGAAAATAGATGTCTCGTCAGGGGGATGATACTGAATTCTTATCATCTGAAGGAACAATGAAGTCTCTCTTCAGAAAGAGAGTGGACTCTTGGAAACAGACTTCAAGTTTTGAAAACTAGTTCTGCCACACTGGTTTTGTAACCGTGAGCCTCTTAATGCCTTAGATTCCTCATCTGTAAAAAGGGACTAATAAGAGTTTACTACTTTAGCCCTGCTGGTTTGGCTCAGTGGATAGAACGTTGGCCTATGGACTGAAGGGTCCCAGGTTCAATTCCGGTAAAGGGCACATGCCCTGCTTGTGGGCTCGATCTCCAGTGAGGGGTGTGCAGGAGGCAGCCGGTCAGCGATTCTCTCTCATTGTTGATGTTTCTATCTCTCTCTCCCTCTCCATTCTTCTCTGAAATCAATAAAAATATATTTTTAAAAAAGAGTTTACTATTTTATAGACTAGTTTTGAAGATTACATGAGATAATCCATGTAAAATATTTACAACAGGGACTGGCACAGAGAAAGTGCTCAAATAATGGCATCTGTTAGTATTACCATTGTTGTTACTGTCATTATTATAATTGCCATTTTGTCGTTATTTTTCAACATATCCCAGAACTTGGAAATGGTTACCCTGGCAGAAGGGCAAAAGTACCCATCACTTTTATCATTCCATCCCCTATTTTTGTGAGCTAAGAAAAGATCCTTCCTATGTGGAAGTGACACTGTGTAGGTGCACACCTCAATGAAACTATACTCTCTTATACTGTATTGAGATGGTGATGATACTGTTATGGCCTGTAAGGCACAGCTTACCCCTGTTGTGTCCCCTAAAGGAGAACAGGGATTCAATTTTCTAGGGTCTCTCCACCAGAAGAAGAAAGTATTCAGATGGGAACAAGTAACTGAGATATTGGGCCTAAAGCATATGGGAGAAGGATTTCATGTCACTATTTATGTCATTGTTTTGAGAGGGTAAATGTGCTTGCAGTTACTCCTAAGTGCTGGATGTTTAAAGGTGGCCTCTGCTTCAAAGCATGTCCTGGAAGCACATGATCTAGTTACATGGTAGTCCTGTGTTTATGTCCCTACTGATATTTATGAGCCTTTGCTAATTATTTTTATTTGGTTGCTCTAGTGTGATAGCAATTATATGAGGGTTAAGAAAAGTAGGATCATGTATCTACCCTGGACCAGAGTACAGGAACTATAGATGAACTCCTCTTGGCCCTGAACCCTATGGTGATGGCAGTGATTGGTGACAGGTTCCAAGGAGAACAAAACTCTCTGGCTGAAAAAGTCTTTGCAGAAAACTTAGCCCTTCCTTCCCAGATGGAAACTGTTGCCTCACTGCCTACCTGAAGCATAATAGTATAAATAATAACTAACAATTATTGCATGTATATTATGTACCAGGCACTGAAATAAATTTACCATCTCACATAATCCTCACCACAACCTAGAGAGGTAGGTACGGTTATTATTCCTATTTCTCTGTGGAGAAAGTTTGAGAGATATTATGAACTTACCTAAGATCCCACAGTTAGTAAGAAGCAGAACTAAGAATCAGTCCTGGGCACCTAGCTCCAGAGCCTGCATTTCTTTTTTTTTTAATCCTCACCTGAGATATGTTGTGTTTTTATTATTACTAGAGGCCCAGTGCACAAAAATTTGTGCACTCAGGGGGATCCCTCAGCCTGTGCCTTCTTGCAATCTGGGACCCCTCGGGAGATGACCACCTGCTGGCTTACGCCCACTCCCTGGGGGAATGGGCCTAAGCTCACAGTGAGACATTCCTCTGGCAGCCCGGGAGCCCTCAGGGGATGTCCACTTGCCAGTGGGGAGCAGGCCTAAGCTGCAGTCGGACATCCGTAGCACTGCTGAGGAGGCAGGCGAGGCTCCCACCACCACCACTGTACTGGCAGCCATAAGCCTGGCTTGTGGCTGAGCAGAGCTCCCCCTGTGGGAGCGCATTGAGCATCTTCTCCCATGGTGGTCAGTTTGTGTCATAGTTGACCAGTCATTCCCAGTTGTTCTGCTGTTAAGGTCAATTTGCATATTACCCTTTTATTATATAGGAGTGCCTGGCCAGCCTGGGTGAGGGGCTGGTGGCTGTTTGCAGGCTGGGCAAGCGACCTCAGAGCTGGCCTCAGGAAGCTTGCCTTCCTCCATCATGGGGGCAACCAAGCCTCCTGCTTGCTCCAACTCTGTGGCTGCCGGCTGCCATCTTGGTTGGGTTAATATGCATATAGTCGCTCTGATTGGTTGGTGGGCGTGGCTTGGGTGTAGTGAAGGTATGGTCAATTAGCATCTTTGTCTTTTATTAGTGTAGATTATTATTGCTTTTGAGAAGGAGAGAGAGAAAGAGAGAGATCAATCAGTTGCCTCTTATACATGCCCCAACCAGGAATTGAACTCACAACTTAGGTATGTGCCCTGACTGGGAATAGAACCCACAACCTTTTAATGTTCTAACCAACTGAGCCACCCAGCCATGGCCAAAGCCTGCATTTCTTTTATTATTATTATTATTAATTTCTAAGCCTGCATTTCTATTAACACTTTTTTTTAATTCTCTGTACCTGCCAATTTATTTTTTTAATTATTTGTTGAAAGTTTTACATATGTCTTCTTTCCCCTCCCCCCCGCTCCCTCATTGACCTCTCCCAGGCTACTCCTGCCTCCCAGCATATGCCCCTACCCCTTATTGTCTGTGTCCATTGGTCATGCTCATATACATGGATGCAAGTCCTTTGGCTGATCTCTTACACCATCTCCCTTCCCTCCCCTGCCTTCCTTCTGAAGTTTGACAGTCTGTTTGATGCCTCTATAGCATTTTCTTTATGGTGCATTTTGATCATAAACAGAAGATGAAAAAATAGTATAACTTACTCCCCATGTACCTATTACCCAGCTTTGACTTTTACCACCGTACACCCAGTTGTGTTCCATCTACACCCCTACTCAGTGCCCCATGATGACATTATGACATTTTATCCATAAATATTTCAGTATGTCTCTCTAAAAGATTAGCATTCCTTTTACTAAAAATCACAATGCATCATCATACCTAAAAGAAAAGAAAAAAACAAAACAGTAATTTCTTTAAATTACTACTTATGTAATTAATTTCCACACTGTCATTTTCTCATATTTAATGTTTTTAAAAATCAGGATCCAAATATGATACATGTATTACAATTGGTTGACATGTCTCTTAGGTCTCATTTAACAGACCAGAAGCTCTGTTCTTAACCACTATACTCTGATACAGGTTCTCTGTTACTAAGGAAGGTGATTTTAGAGGACTACATTAACTTATTAAAATTCATTTTCAAAATTTTGCATGTATTTGTGTAAGTTAATTTTTCTAGGGAGAGCATCCCTGGTTCTCATTACAGTCTCAAAGCTTTAAGTAAGTAAGACTCAGAACAACTGAAAAGCATGTACCAAATACTATATTTTTTCAACTGTCACAGGGAATTGTATAGACCACAAAAGCTATATGATCATAAAATGGCTAGTTGAGTTTTGTTTTCTATGAAGATGAAGAAAGAAGTTAAATTCTGTTAAGTTTATTAACTTGAAATTTGAGAGGTCTTTACAAATTACGTTTGAGGTCAATAGAATTGGTTAAGGAGTAATTGACGTTTCTTTTAAAAATTTAATAGAATATATAATTGATTGATGACTCAAGTTCATTTTGAATAAAGCATCTTGGTAGATCGTGGTTTTATTGTGAATTGTAGTGGTGAAAATCATATTCAGAACTTGAATTCCCTATCTGATGTGACTTGTGGACTCCATGTGAATTGGTACAGGTAGAGACTGATTTTTTAGGATATTGTTGATTTGATCCATAATAATAGCTCCTTTGCAAATGTGTACAATTTTTCAATTGTATGCATGTATACAAGTACAAAATGAAAAGGTGATAAAGATTATCACTAATCTTACTTTTTGCACCAACTTTTCCTAGATAAAATCCAACATCAAACACCCAATGGTACTGTCATCAACAGTATAGAAATCCCCAAACCACCACAATACCCCAACCTGCCTATTCAGAAGAGTGGGGAATCTGATCCTGGGAGAAAGTCCCCAAGCAGACTTGCTTCAGATGGCAAATCGGAGTCCTGCCCCGAGGTGGACGTGGGGAAATTGGTGTCTAGGCTGCAGGATGGAGGAGGGAGCAAGGCCACCAATGGACCTGTGTCAGGCTCTGGGCCCACCAAGGCCTCCTCTTCCCACATAAAGAGACCAGCTCCTCGGCCCCTAGTTCATCACAAGGAGGGTAAGTGCTTGGGAATCCCATGGGAACCAAAACTGAGCCCAACTACTTTGCACTTTGAGATCTTTCTGAAATTGGAGATATATAAGTAGAAATTGGTTCCATTTTACTACCACTAATATTGGAATGGTCGACAAGAACATAAAAATCATTTACAATAATTGCTAGAATATAAGCTTCATGAGGGCAGGGAATTTTAACTTCTTTTATTTACCTCTATATCCCATGTGCGAACAATGCCTACCTGTCCCATAGTAGGAACTCTTTATTTGTGGAGTAATTTAAACTAATTATATTATTTATTATTATTATTATTATTATTATTATTATTGCTACTGTTGCCATTTATTAGGTATCTGCTATGTGTGTGGCACTGCAGTGGGCACTGACATGCTCTTTTTGATCCTCACAACCATACTGTGAAGAATGTATTATTATTGTTTTCTTTTCTACGGAAATATGAGGTTCCTAGTGGTAAGTGACTTGCCAAAGGCTACTAACTGGCAGAGCTATGTTCTAAATCCTACCAAGTCTTGTAGGCACCAAATCCTTTGTTTTTTTTCAATAAGGCACAAGTATCACTTTACCTTTTTAGAAGAAGCTTTGAATCTGTGAACTATTATTTTCTTACTAGAGGCCGATGCACAAACATCATGCAAGAGTAGGCCTTCTTTCCCCCAGCTGCTTGTATCAGCTTCCCTCTGACACCAGGACCCGGGCTTCCCTCGCAGTCCTGGCTTTGTCCAGGAGGTCATCTGGAAGGATGTCTGGATGGATGTCCAGTCCAATTAGCATATTATGCATTTACTAGAGGCCCGGTGCACAAAAATGTGTGATGGGTAGGGTCCCTAGGCCTGGCCAGCAATCAGGGACAATTGGGGCCTTCCTTCCCCTGGCTGCCGGCTGCCCCACCCAGCACACATCACAGCAAGCAATTGAACTCCTGGTCTCCAGGTCAAACTCCCAAGGGAACCCTTTGCATAT